ACGAAAGCCTTCAACTACTGCAAGAGCTGAGAGACCCAGGCCACCTACATTCAAGTGTTTCCGGTGTGGACAAGGAGGACATCGAGCAGCCACCTGTCCAGTCCCCTACCCCCGACTGCAGAACAGACCAGAACCAACAATGTGAAAGAAACCTGCTCAGCGTCTAACGAGAGAAAAATCCAACCGACTCACGCAGGAACCTGTCGCCCAGATTACACCCCCCACACAGGAGGACGCCGGGATTCCAGGTGGACCTGACCCTGCTCTACACTTTTTTGACAGCGACGATGAAAGAGAGAACGACCCAATGGTGAGTCGACAAATCCTGCCTTTTTCACTGGCCGCCAAACTTATAATCCCTAAGTCTGGGACACAAATGGACTTGAACATACTAATTGATTCGGGATGCACCTGCTGCATTATTAGTCTGGTGTTTGCCATGAAAATGGGCATACGGGCAAAACAGCTTTCCAAATTGGTGAGGTTTGAGCAAGCCGATGGCTCCCTGATGGGAGGGACAATTAACCGAGTCCTTATGCCTAGAAATAGGTGCACACTGGGAGTTTATTCTCTTCCTGGTGGCTCCAAAAATGACTGAGGCGGTGATCCTAGGACTAGCCTGGTTAGTCCGTTATGCCTGTGCCGACATTTTGTAACAATCACTGACTTTTAGGAAAATAAATGTCTGGAAGTTCTTTGAAGTGTTTCATTAGCCGGAACCATAACAGTTACTACTATTGAGCAAGGTACCCCCTATACTATACCTATACATTTGGTTTTTCTTGCCTAAATGTAGAACCTTACTTTTTTCACCATTGAATTTAATTTTGTTAGATAGCACCCAGTGTTCAAGTCTGTCCAGGTCCTCCTGTATCCTAAGCCTGTCTTCTGGAGTGTTGGCTATTCCTGCCAGCTTGGTGTCGTCTGCAAATTTGATGAATTCCCCATCTATCCCCTCGTCCAAATCATTGATAAAGATATTGAAGAGCACTGGGCATAGAAGAGAATGTAACCATTACATTATTCTTTATGGATTTGACTTGCATAACCACTCAAGATCAGTTTTAACTAGCTTTGATTCATTTTAGCAACCACCAATTGTACAAGAAAGAAATACATAAATTAAGACAAGTTAAAATTCATGAATGCAAATCACTTGGTGGGGAATGTAGTATAATTAAATGTACATTTTCCTCTTTGGCAAGCTAAACAGGAAATCAGCATTAAGGACACATTTATGGTGGATTTAGACTTCTGTTGCTCCTGTGATCTAGAACCACCAGTTTAAAAAATAGGCAAAAAGAGGTTCAAAAGGGGTTTAAAAAAATGGAAACTACTGTTTGCTGGTTGACATGCTACAAAGCTTCTTCTTTTATGCATATCCTTTGCAGTTCTACCTATATAATTGTTAAATCCAGAATCTGTGATTGCAAGAAAGGAAAGAATAAAGTAGTTAAATAACAGTAAGTTTAAAAATTGCAATTTTGTGATAAGGTCCTGTCAGCTTTATCACTGAGTCTCTCAGAAAGAACAGGCAAACTAGTGATCCAAGGCCTCTGAATTTGTACCTTCTATTGCATCTATAACTGAGAGGAAAACTATGTGCAGAGCTACTTCTACATGAGCAAGGAAAGAATAAGATAAGTACTTGCAACATACAATGTGTTTTGAGTAGTGGTATGTATGAGAATATTAGATTATGCGCAGAGGTGAGAACAGGAGATATAATAGCTTTGTTTGATAGTTACCCTGCCACTCAGTTCAATTCGGATAGATCTTTCTGGGTCACTAGGATCTAAAACAGTCTCTTTGTTTTTCCTAAGCGATGGGCAATCCCTACATAGGTCCATGTTTTAGTAATAGGGTTTTCTTTTTGATACACATAAGCCTAACTTTTGATCCCACCTTTACATTAGCCAAATCACAGTATTTATCTAAAACAAGACTACAAATTTAATAGTATTCAAACTAATTCCTATACTTCGAATACTATCTAAAAATAGTGGTGATACATAATTATTTTATATTTTTTAAATGTTTTATTTATATAGCCTTTATTGAGCATGAAATTATCCTATATACATACATTCTTGAAAACTACGCATTCTGATTAAGTCAACTGCTGAATCAGATTCAGAATTATATATATAAAATGTACAACAACCAACACTAATTAACTCTTGTAAATTAGGTGTACTTCTTATATGAATTAAAATATGGATATTTTTCATTTAGACTTTTGATTCATAAAACAATTCCTTGTTTTTAATAAGATTTTGGAAAAGTTAACCATAGTAGTTAATGGTAAGGGAACATGAGCTGACGAGTTGGAATAAAGTGCTGCCTGATATATATAAACATGTTCTTCAAGCTGTCTTTCAGTACATGAATAAAAGTTGGGTCTCATCCAAAATGGCAAACTGTTTTTTAAACTTCCTTTGTGTTGGATACATGCCTGCTATTTTTGGAATGCAGCTTTAATCAAAGGGTGAGGTCATTGTTCAGAATTTGTTCTGTCTTACAACTAGAACACAGTTCTCACATATACAAACATATTACAAAGTTCTTCCTCTTTTAGTGAAAAAGAAGTTGTATTTATGTATTTGGTAAAGTACTGACTAGATCCATTCTTGGAAATAACATAACCACTGATTAAGGTCAAAGTCAACAGGGGCAGCAGAAATAAATGATGTTAACAAGAGGAAACAGAAAGGATTAAGGTTTTGCCTTCAATCTGTCTTTTATTATTGTGTTGTTGTTTTTTGTAAAACATTGCTTCATTTAAATGTTGAACTGCATAATGGTTTCAGCGCATGTGTATTTTAAATAATTCAGATTTTATTTTGAACAATTTTAACCATCTTCGTTTTTCTACTGCTTTATTGCCCACATAGAGAATAGTAGGACTAACCTTTAACTACATAGAAAGAAGCAGATTTTTCCACCTTTCCTAAATACTGCATGGAGTGTAAAACTAAGCTGATTGAGAAATCTCCCAAACCAAGTGGAGTAAAGCTCTACTGAACCATGTGCTGTGGCCTGATTTTAGAGAAACCTTTTTTTCTCATCCTAGAATAATCTTCCAATGTAGCAGAGTGCCCCAGATCTTAAGAAAGAAGTAGTTACAGGTAGGCCAGAGGAGTGGAGAAGAAAGATCTATCTAGTTGGATAGGCTAAGGTTGGATCCAGCCTGAAAAAATAAGGGAAGGCATGCTGTATCCTGCTCAAACAATTACTGAATGGTGCTGTTTCTTTATCTTTTTTAACTGGTTGAGTGCAAATTTATTTTTTTTAAACCCAGACATATTGTATAATAGCAACTAAGATATGAAAAATAAGACATTATGTGAAATGTTCCCTCTTACATACCAGATTTCATCAATAACTTCTTTTTGGATTGGAAATGTTTAAAGCTGTATTTGCTTTGAACAGTGCATGAAATAAGTATTTTCTTCAATTAAATAGATAACAACTGTTTTAAATTGGTAATTTTGGCAAATTTAATTCTTTATTTTAAGTAGTTACTTTTATCACAAAAATATTATGCAATCCTGATCACCACCAGGACTCTAGTACTTGCAGATTATCATATAATAACTTAATATGAAAATGACGCATTATTTTATTTGAGAGTTATACAACACTTTTCTTCATTTTCCAAAGCTGTTTCCTAAAGAATAATTTGATGGGTTAGTCTAAATAATTTGATGGATTGGACAAGTCTAAGGGAAACAGTGAATTGGTATCTTTTTTGGATGCCTTTTGTCTTCCAATCAACACGCTTATGGAAGAAGATAGATAACCGTGTTCAGAAATCTAAATCCTTTTCTTATGAAATGCTTGAAAATAGTCTCAAGGATGTTTACTTGGGATGATGGTAGACTTTTTGTAAATAATTACTAGTTTAAGCCACAGACTAGTTATTGTTTACAAATGTACTTTCAGTGTACCAACTAGTATCCACGTAGTCTGTCCTTTGTATTTCATCCCTTCCAATAAATGCTTCATGTTGTAAGATAAAGTTAGAGATTTTGTTACATTTCTGATGTAATTCTTTTTTTTTATTGAGAATTTTTAAAAGTTTTTACAAATAACAAAAAAAGAACAATAACAAACAAAAAAAAACAAAACAACCCTCACCCAACCCCTCCCAAACCACCCCCTCCATCCCCCCTCCCGAGCTTCCCAGAGCTGAATATAGGCTTAATTAAAATATTAAAAAACCTAAACAAATTTTAACAACTTATAAAATAGTTAATAATAAAATATATATGACATAAACATTAAAAAGAAAAAATACTTAAAAAGAAAAAAAAGAAAAAAGAAAGAAAGAAGAAAAGAAATAGGAAAAAGAAAAAAAAGGAAAAAAGAGAAAACAATCTATAAAATATCAAAAATTATATACAAGTTATAAAAAAGCTAAATGATATTTTTTTATATCCAATTTATGTTGTATAAAATTTATCCATTTTTCCCATACAACAAAAAATTTCTCTTGCGATTGCTCCTTTAAAAAAGCCGAAATCTTTGCCATTTCCGCCAGATAAGAAACTTTAAAAAACCACTCTTGCAAGGTAGGCAAAGATTCCTTCTTCCAATATTGCCCTACTAACAGCCTTGCAGCTGTAATCAAATTTAACATCAATATAACCTCCTTAACAATTTCTGATGTAATTCTAACGTATGACAATTTTAGTTACCTTGGAAAGGGCAACAAGTGATGGAAAAAGCTGGGACATGAGAGATGCAGTTCAATAGCATCTGGAGTATCATAGGTTGACTATCACTACTATATATACTAACGCATTCATTTGTTTATGCTTGATGAAATCAAATTAAAAGAAATCTTTTATTTCTCATATTTTTCATTTACTATATTCAATTCAATCTTTATTATGGTCATGGACCAGCATAAGATTTACTACTTATGTATTGTTAAATATCTGTGAAATGTAATAAGAAATCCATACATTATTTTGCATTTTGTGTTCTTTGTACAGGAATGCATGCTTTGCGGAGAATATTTCATAAGAAAGAGAATCTCCTGGATGATGATGTGTCTGTATCTGTAATTATTAATCGCAGTGATTTTCTGCAGGCAATGAACGATGTCAGGCCCAGCGCCATGAGAGAGGTGACAATTGATGTACCCAAAGTAAGATTTCTCTATTAAATATTTTAAGATGACTATTTGGAAGTTGGAGAATAAGAAAAGACTCATGCTTAAAGGCAGTCATCTGATCACAGAAATAGCTTAAGCGATCTTCAAGTCTTTCCTTCTGCATATCTTGGGAATATATTGGAACTGTAACTCCTTTAATTCCTAGTTATACTGTCCGGATATTCTAGAGCTCAAGTTCCAACATAGCTGAAGGTCAAGAAGGGTTATCTAGGAAATCATGATAAAAAATAGTGAGAGGTCCACATGTATAGTCAGTATTAACCTTGCATATTTTCCAACATCATACATTTCTCACAAGGATGAAAATATAGCACATTGTTGTACTTTGATTTCATTCTCTGTTTTTGTGGAATGTGCAGGGATACACTATTTTAAGATAGGCATATGGATAGAATAGAAATACATCCAACATGGAGACAAAAACTACTCTTTCGGCAAAGTCTTTCAATCCATGATGAATGAATTTCATGAACATAGCTAAAGAAAAATATTTATTGTAGATAATAAGGTAGCCATGCAAATGATTGACCATTGCCAATAAGAGAGTGCAAATGACTGTTATACATGTGATAGTTTATATTTATGTTTTTTTCTTGTATTTTTCCCATGAATTAACAGCTTCTTCTTTCAGCATTTTGTGAACCTGAACTGAGCAGTTGTATTTATATAACTGTCTTCTTTAGCCTAAAAATGGTCTACACATTTATAGGACAATAAACTTGATAAAGATCTTCTGAAGAGATACTACATCAATATTATCAGAAATAAAGATTGATTACTGTATCCTATTTGGCACTGGTTGTGGTGTGTGTGTGTGCGTTCAATAAAAAGTGATCCGAAGAAAGTGTTAAAATAGATCTAATTAAGTACTAAACTCCTAGTAGCTGCTTGATAATGCAGTATTTATGCTCCTGAACACGGGAGCTATCAAAAATCAATGAATGAATTAATTAAAGTGACTCACTTTATAGGTATCCTGGTCAGACATAGGAGGGCTGGAAGATGTTAAACTGAAATTAAAGCAGGCTGTTGAATGGCCACTGAAGCATCCTGAATCTTTCATTCGAATGGGCATTCAGCCACCAAAAGGAGTACTGCTATATGGACCACCAGGATGTTCTAAAACCATGATTGCAAAGGCCTTGGCTCATGAAAGTGGTCTAAACTTCTTGGCAGTAAAGGTTAGTAATCACTGTGTTCTTAAGCATGATGTTATCAAATACCATAAAAACTCTCCTGTAGTATTCTTCAACTGTCAATCTTTCAGATATGTTGGGTGTACTGGATTGGCATTGCAATAATTACCTTAATTTCCTGTTTTATATACAGTATTTGTTTGTAATGTTTTATATTTTTGTTCTCAAGCTTTATGAATCTAGTCTGTACTGAAAGTCTAGGGAAGAATAGTACATTTGGAAGAAGAAAAGAAAGTTACGCTATTTGCTTAGTTAAATTTCTGGTTTATTCATACTGTAGTTATAATATGGAATAGTGCAATAGTTGAAAACATATCAAGGTAGTGCCACAGTAATTTGGTGGCAAAATAATTGAATTTTCATGGCATGATTTGTTTTACAAAATAAAAAGTTGGAATGATGGAAAGACTGGAAGTCAAGTGTTCCAATTTTTGCTCCCAAATTCTCCATGTTCCATAAAAATGGCCTGAGATAACATCTTTCAGGGCCTACTTTGGTTTTTTTTTATTAAATAATTTGGACTTCAAAGCCAATTAATCGAATTGATGTCAGCTTTGTTTCTTCTAGTTACATCATCAAATCACCAGATGGTTTCTTGTACCTTAATATGTTGTTGCTATTTTTATTTTCTTCCTAGCATTTTCATGCAAATACAGGTTCCACTTTTTTCAGATAAACTAAATATTGGTTGCAATAGGAATTGACTGAGCAGCTTATCACCAAAGCCTGACATTGTGGCTTGAGAAAGTGACTGGACTGGCCCAAAGTCACCCAGCTGGATTTCATGCCTAAGACTAGAACTCACAGTCTCCTGGTTTCTAGCCTGGTGCCTTAACTGGTTCTCATTTATATATTTAAAATATTGTAGAAGGGAAAAAGCTTTCCAAGAAGGTCTTCAAAATTAGAATCAAAACACAATCTAAAATCAAAAGCTGAATTGCCATTTTTTTTAAAAAAGGTGTCAGAATGTTTAATGCTTTTATACATGTTTATTATAAGAAAAAAGTAGCTTAGTTCAGAGTATAATCTTTAAAAAAAATGAGGTTAAATGAGATAGGATTGTTTTTTCTCCTAAATGACACAGTATATTTTGTGCTAACTCTAGCCACTAGTTTTTGTAAATAAAAACAATTTTGGTTATTTATTAATTTATTTCAATACTTTGTATGCCACTTATATACTAGACATTGGACTCTAGAGCAGAGGTCCCCAACCCCTGGGCCACAGACCAGCACCGGTTCATGGCCCGTTAGAAACTTGTCCGTACAAGCAAGTGAAGCTTCATCTGCACATGTGCAGGATCTAGGTAGCTTGCAAAGCCATGTTCTCCCTGGTCTGTGGAAATTTTTTTTCTGCAGAACTTGTCCCTGGTGGCCAAAAGGTTTGGACCACTGCTCTAGGGGGTAAAGGATGCATATACACACAAAAAAAACCCTTGAAGTTTTTCTACTGTGATTCTCTTCTTCCACTAAAGAATTCCAGTTGTATAGTTACCTTGAAATTTTGCTGAATGAGAAAGAGTTTGGCATTTTAGCTGCAGTGAGCAGTAGAAGAAAAAGCACAGAAAATAGTTACTGTTATGTCCTGAGCCTTGCAAGCGGGCTCGGGGCGTTGCAGGCAGTCCCGGGCAGGTGCAAGCTGCCCGGGACCAGACAGGCTGTCGCCAGTGCTTGTGCGCATGCACAAGTGCTGGCGCGCGAAAAGTAACACATTGACCCTGGAAAGTCCTATAAAAGGAGGCTGCGAGGTGTGGGCTTTTGCCGCCATATTCCAATGTAAGCTGAACTGAAGAATAAAGGTTTCCTGAGAACTACAACTGCTTCTCGTGTCTTACCATTTCGCGACGGACTCAACAGTTACATTAGTATTTTTTTGACATTTTCTGCAAGAATGCTTCTCCCAAAGTGGCTTGGTTGTACAGGTAGTCCTTGAGTTACAAATGTAATGGAGCCTGCCCATTCCATTCGTAACTCGAAAATTCGTGGGATTGAATCTCATATCTCAAACGAGATCACTTCCTGTTCGATAAGATGCATGCAGCTCGTTAAGTGCACATGAGGTATCACAGGGTGGGAAAGGCCATGGGGGGCATAGTGATGCAACAGGCCCCCAAGGCTTCCCCGACCCACTAAGATACCTCATGCTTCCCCCTCCACCAGACTCACTTACCTTTAAAAGATCTGTCTCCTCTCTGCTGCAGTCCTTGCTTTTTAGGGACAGGAGAGTCAGTGGAAGCTCCTGGGTGCTGTAATATCCTGCAAGTTCAGGCACCAATCCTCTTTGCAGAGAATAGGTGCCTGAACTCTCGTGCTGTTCGTGTGCCTCCTGCTCCTCCCCAACTCGGGGCTGTGGGAGGCTTCTGCGTGCCTCTGGAGGTTGGATCCAAGCCTCGGAGGCCTGCTCCAAGCCATTGCAGCCTAGAACGGAGACCAGGGGAGGCTTCGGCGTACCTCCAGAAGTCCGTTCTGGATGGCAAGGGTTTGGAGCAGGCCTCCGAAGCCTGGATCTGACCTCCAGAGGCATGCTGAAGCTCCTCTAACCTCCATTCCAGGCGCAATGGCTTTGAGCAGGCCTCCGAGGCCTGGATCCGACCTTCGGAGGCACGCAGAAGCCTCCCATGGCCTCTGTTCTGGGCAGCTTGGAGGAAGCCTCTGAAGCTCCGGGGACAATGGAGTCACTTCCTCCCCAGCACGGCGGGTGTGAGGGGCCTGGCCTTCTCCCTCAGTTGAAGGCTTTGGGCATGCCCTCAGGCAGAAAGGAGTTGGAGGCAGGAGCAGGAAACAGGCACCGCAAACACCTTTTGCAAAGAGAATGAAAGTTTCTAAGGTCTGTGATTTGGCACAACTTCAAGCACTTGCGCAAGATCGCGGACTCCAGAAACTTCCATTGTTGCAGCGAAAAGCATTTGCAAGCCGTCTCTCCTTTCCTCAAAGGGAAAGAAACCATGGCAGAGACGATTTTTGCAAGGTAAGTGAGTTGAGTGTGGCAGAAGGGAGTGGGAAGCAGTTGTGGGGAGGGGGTGGATGTTGCAGAGCCTCTGCAGTCATTCGTAAGGGCGAACAACTGCTCTGGTGCTGCAAGATTCGTGATTTGGGGACTTGCTCATAAGCATTAGGGGGCACTTGTTGCGTAATTTCAAATGGATGCTAAGTGAACCCTCGTAACTTGGGGATTACCTGTATCATGTATATTTTAAAAAACCTTTTGCAATATGTTGCTTCATGTGTCAGTTGTGTGGTTCTCAGAAGAGACATGTAAAATAATTAGTATTTCTAGAGGACTGTCAAGTGATTTTGAACTTTGTAGGTTTTAAGACAACTTTTAAAACTTAATTTATCACAAAGCACAAATTTATGCAGATGAGACAGAGAGACAGCAACTTGAAATGTATTTTTTATTTTTCAAGCATGTACAATTATGGTAAAGGCTTTGGTAGAAAATGTTCATCCTGTCTTTCTTTTCCTCTTAAATATGAGCCATTTCAGTTAGCTTTTCTTTTTCCAATTAGCAGTACTTTCAAAACATATTCTGTTGGCAGATTATTGATTTCACTTTGGTTTTGCTGACTTCCTGTATCCTTCTTAAAATATTTTGTGGTTTACTGCACTTGACATGGGCTTACGTTCTGGTTGTCATCTGGATCAATTACAACAAAATGCTTTCCAGTTTAAATTTGCCATTTCTTTGTATTTATTTCTTGGCTTCAGCAGTTAAAATAGATTAATGGTTTTGGGAAAACCTGTGTCTTGACTTTATGAATGATTATCATTACATTTCTGGAAGAAGATTGGTTAATGTTCTGAAAGGGTTTTTGGACTGTTCCTCATGAATTGCTTTTTATTAAATAAGAAACATGAAATTCATGAGATAAAATCTTTTTAGAAAAGCATCTCATAATTAACTTTATATAATCCTACAGAACTTTTAGGTCAATAAATATAACTCTTTGCTCAGTACAGAAACCCAAATTTGGGATCAAAATTTCTTTTGCTAAGCAATACAGTCATAAAGCACAAAATCATGTTACTACATCACTTAGTGACAACAATTCTGACAATCCCTATTGCTATTGTTAAGCAAGAATTGTATTATTAAGAGAGGATTTCCTTGTGATTTCCTGCCAGCTTCCATAAGCAAAGTCAACGGGCAGAACTTTTGAATTCTGGATAATTTGCAAGCAGGTCAGCCAGCAGGTGTGTATAATATGGTCTGGCATGAATGCAGCAGTTAAGGGATGGTGTATAAGCAAGTGCTATAGTATGAACGTTGACAGGCCAGAGATGGCTTCTGCTAGGTGTGGGAAGGTGTGCAAGCTGTCCTGTGCTCCTCAATCCCTCACTTTTGCTGTAGTCTTTTGTTTCTGATGAGGCAAGCCCATCTGCTGGCTGTATTCTTTCTTCCTGAGGCAATGCATGGACTTCCTGAGGCCTCAAAAAAAGACCTTGTGTGACTTTAGGAAAGCTATATGCAGCCTCAGAAAAAAAGTATTGTAACGCCAGCAGCTGGCTTGTGAAGCGCTCAGCTGGATGCACCTCATCAGCAGTGGGAGGAAGGAGATGGCAAAGGTCAGTTAGGAATGGCAGGAAGTGGCAGAGTACTGGACACCCAAAAGGGCAGATAAGGTGGGAGATAAACTGGTGTGGGAAAGTTGAAGTGCACTCTGCAGTCATAAATGTGGGTAGGTTGCCAAGTGCCTGAATTTTGATCATGTGACCTCAGGGTACTACAATGGCTGTAATTTCAAGGACCAGGCATAAATACCATTTGTTCAGCACATTGTAACTTCAAACAGTTGGTAAACAAATGATCCTTAAGTGAGGACTATCTATATCCATAATTGTGGATCCCTTGTCAATCTTTTAGGTATCTGAATACTGCTATTATATTGCCCCTGAATAAATTTTCTTAAGGTTACATATACTCAGTGCCTATAACTTTCCTTACAAAATTTCTTTCCATTTTCTCTGGATCTTTCTTAAACTATAGTGTATAGAACCATATGTACTATATTTCTTGAAGTAAGTATGGCCAAAGCAGGTAATGAAAGTAATAATATAAATGTTAATATAACTATCATTTCTCATGATTTGGAAGCTGTATTTCTATTGATGTACCCTAAAATACAGTTTCTCTTTTTGGGAGCCATGTGTTATTGCCGATTTTCAGCTTGCGGTCAACATAGTTCCAAGATTCTTTTCATATGTACTATTAACAAGCCAGGTCTTTTTCATTCTATACCTGTGTATTTTTCTTTATTCTAAGTGGAAAATCAGGATGTTATGTATTATTCTGGTTTGAGCCTCCCTCTATCAAAATCCTTTTACATTTTGATTTCCTTTTAGAAAGTTACTTAGATTAGTCTGACCAATTCATGCTTTTCATTTTGTAATTGGCATTGTTTTCAGTATGCATATTATTTAATTAATTGCCATTTGTTCTAGAATCTTCCTAAGAATTAATGTTGGTATGTATGTATGTGTGTATATATATATATATATATATATATATATATATATATATATATATATACACACTATCAAGGCTGCAAAAGAATAGTAATGTAGGGCAGGGCTTTTCAACCAGTGGTACGGGTACCACCTGTGGTACATTGGCACCTGGCAGGTGGTACGCGACCATCCTACAAAAGTGGTAGTGGGGGAGGGGAATGAGCTGAACTGGTGGCAGCACCGCACAAGCCTGAGTGAGAGATGGCTGGAGCTGCAGGGCTGTCAGGGCTCAGCAGAAGTGCCAGGATCAGCACCAGGTTCCAGCTGGAGCTGGGCACTGATCCTGGTGCTTCTGCTGAGCCCAGAAGAAGCACCGATCAGCTGGAATGTTGTAGCATCTCCAGGATCTTGTGATTTACATTCAGATGCTTGGCAACTGATTCATATTTATGACGGTCACAGTGTCCCAGGGTCATGTAAAATGACCAAAACCTGCTGCAACCACCCAGCAGATGGGGGGAATAAAAACCAAACACCCCCCATCCCCGCTGCCAATCCTCAACAGAAATGCTCACAATGGAAACCTCGGGCAGGAGGAAGAGCGCTGACAGGTGGGCAGACAGGTGTCTTGCTCAGCTGTGGCTTGGGGGCATTTTTTTCAGTGCCATTGTAACTTTGAACAGTCACTAAGTGAACTGTTGTAAGTCGAGGACTACCTGTACTTTATCACTTTTTTCCTTTTTTTTTTTTTTTTGGTCATCACGTTTTTGACAGCTTGCTAGGCGATGGGTGGTAGTCAGATATTGCCATATCCTAAAAGTGGTACAATGGGTGAAAAGGTTGAAAAGCCCTGATGTAGGGTATCACTTTAACTAACTAGTAGATCATATAAAAAAGAGAGAGGTATAATATTGCTTTCTCTTTTTTAACAATCACAAAGCCAAAGAGTACTAATTAATGTTTATAATATTACATCATTATATTACATACTGTGTTGACTGCAAAGGTGAATTTAGGGTGTAAAAAGATAGATAGATAGATAGATAGATAGATAGATAGATAGATAGATAGATAGATAGATAGATAGATAGATAGAAAAAGGCTTCAAGTGGTTTGTAGTAGATGGCAGGTTCTTCAAATATTTCAGTTCAGTGTATTATAGATAATATATGCCAACTTAAATTGAGTCCAGAAAATTAAGATTTAAGAATCAGTGGAAATTCAGTAAATCCAGACTAATAAATTGATTGATTGGGGAACAGCATGTGTTTTCAAACATTTTTATAATAAATAAAATACTTTCAAGTATTCTCTTCAAGCTGTTTTTTTTTAAACATTTAAAAGAAAGTATGATGTAACGGAAACATCCTTGAAAGTTTTTGATTTTTGTTTTCCATGCAGGGACCTGAATTGATGAACAAATATGTTGGAGAATCTGAACGTGCAGTCAGAGAGGTTAAGTATAATAAATTTAACAGTACAACAATTCATACTTACTTATAGAAGAGATAAACTAACCATGAGTTGCAAGACAAGAGAGAAGAGTATGCCTACTTTACACACACACACACACACACACACACACAGCATCCTCAAACAAATACAGGACAATATTACTTGTCAGAACCATTGCTGATCCTGCTCTGGAAATTACTATATTGACAGCTGAATCACTAGACATTTTAATCATCCAAAGTGATTCAGGATGTCAGACATTTTCTAGATAAAATGTTGATACTTTACAGCCAAGTGCTTTTACCAATTGCTAATCTGACAGATTTATCTACTGATATGAGAATGCTACCAATCAGACTTTATTGGATGGGTGAATGGGAAGTCTGTTAAGCCTCTGTAAGAACATAGTATACTTTTCATCAATTAATTTTTTTTTCATCATCCCAGTCCATGTTTTTTCTCTTAGATATTTAGGAAAGCCAGAGCTGTTTCACCGTCCATATTGTTTTTTGATGAACTAGATGCCTTGGCTGTAGAACGGGGGAGGTAAGATAAATTATTTATAAGAAACATATTTTATGGTTATATGAGACTTGCACTTCCATGTTCTATGGCTTTCTCTGCTTTTTATTTCTTCATGAAAGCAGTACAATTTATGAATAAGAAAATGGCTTTTTTTATTTGCTCTTGAAAGTAATAAGAAATTTATTGGTGTAGCAGTATCCTTTCCATTGACACATTTGCATTTTTTTTTCTTTTAAAAACAGCCATAGGGCACCTCCTAATTTTATTGTAGCAAGGATTTTGGGGGAGAGCCGTATTAAATGTTTTGTCTCATTCTGTTTAGTGGATCAAAATTGATATATCAAATTGGTTGTGGAGCTTCCGGTGTGAGGCGACGGCGATGGCGGCTAGCTTTTAGCCGTCCAGCTGGGGAAGTGTCAGAGCCGCGGAGCGCAGCGTGCATCAGCTGGCCCGCGGCTCGGAAATCCCTTCCCGGGCAAAGGGAAGGGACAGAGAGTGCAGGGATAGAGGTAGAACCCCTGAACCCCCTCTGGATTTGTTTCTAGAGGGGGTGAAAGGAGTGTTCCCTCGGAGCTCCTGCTGATCTCCGCCTCCCAGCTGTTTTTGCTTCCTAGGAAGCAAAAGAAACCGCCGCTTCTATCTCCGTGTTTATAGCCTTCTGGTGAGTAATTTTTAAACGGACGGAGCAGTTTAAAGGATTTTTTGTTATAATTTAGGTGTTTAAATTTTTTTATTTTTTGATTTCTACTATTATTCCTCCTTTTTTTTTTGTTATATTAGTGAAAGGATTTAAGATGGCGCTTTGAAAGTGTCGGAGTTTTTTTTTCCTTTCTCTTTTGTTTTACTTTCCCTTTTTAAGGATTGGTTTTTGCCTTTACTTTTGCTTTTGGCTTAGGATTTTTTCTTTTGAATTGTTTGCTCTTTTATTTTTTATTTTTTGGATTAACTCTGGACTTTCAAGGACTATACTTTGTCTCTTTTTAAAAAAAATTTTTCTTTTTTTTTTTTTCCCTCCTCCCTTCCTGGCTGGAGGGGAAAGGGAAGTGACAATTGTGCTTTTTAAAATGGCTTCAAAGAGGCAGCAGCCTTCCTCAATATCTAAGGTTATTTCTTCTCCTATAACTTCCACTGCACAGTTACAACAACAATCTAAACATGCACCACCGGCTCAGCCACCACCCTCCCCTCCTCTATCTGGACTTTCAGCACAAGAGGTTAGAGGCATAATGGGAGAGATTGTAGTTCAAATGAGAGAGGAAATGAATCAATTTGTCTCACAGATTAAATCAGAAATTAAATCTGATCTCAAAGAAGAGATAACGGGGATAAAGACTAAATTGCAAGAAAACAATAATGAATTACGACAAGATATACTGGCAGCTGTTTCAGGTTTGGCTACTGTGGTGGTTAAGCTCGATGCAAGGCTTGAGGAAGTGGAAGACAAAGTTGACTCTTTGGATGACAAAATTCAAGATGTGGAAAGGAAGGTGGACTCCTCACAAGAAGATATTTTGATGTTTCAGTACAGACAAATGGAGTATGCCCTGAGGATCAGAGGCCTCAAGGAAGATGTGAATCAAGATTTGGTGGAGGTGGTCCTTACTGATCTGGCGCTGGCCTTGGATATGGATAAAGGAGAATTACAGAGAGAAGTGGAAAAAATTTATAGGCTCAATTCCTGGATTGCTAAGCAGAAGAACTTGCCTAGAGATGTGGTGATTTATTTTACAAAGAAGTCCCTGCGGAATGAGATTATACAAGCTTTTTACAATAAAAGATTTCAGATTGCTGCCCAAGATGTTATCATTTTAAAGGAAATCCCATCCAAAATTTTAAGAAGCAGGAAAGACTTTGCTTTTTTAACTAATGAGCTTAAAGCTAGATCGATGCCATTTAGATGGGAAATTCCGATGGGTATTGTTTTGAGCCATGCTGGGACACGCTACAGATTGAACACAGTTGATAAAGCTAGAGACTTTTATACTTCGGTCCTGGGTGCAGGCTCAACCTCATCTGGTCGGAAATCTCTGAGTGGCAAGGAAGTTGAGCAGCAATCTGAGGCATTAGATTTGGTTTCCGCTGGGATGATAGAAGCTGTAAAGCAACGCCAGACGGAGGTTAAAGAGCAGAGGATGACCCGTGCAGCCTATAAGCGTAAAGAGAAGGAGCAACGTAAAAAAGAGCCTAAAGAGAGTTCTCCTGGAAGTGCATCACCGCCGGTGGGAGGAGCAAGACCCAAGAGTTATGCAACACACGCAGCTTTTTCAGAGTTTGATGGTGTCTTCTCCAGGCTGCGTGCCAAGGGAGATGGCAAAGTTTTTGACCTGGAATGTTAATGGATTGAATTCTCCTCAGAAACGCAAAAAAATCTTTTATTATTTGAAGCAACATACTAATGATGTTATTTGCTTACAGGAAACTCATATTTTACTTAAAGATCAGAAATATTTAGTTAATGCTCGTTTGGGATCTCATTTTATATCTTCTGCTCCTGGGAAGAAAGGGGGAGTTGTTATATATGTTAAACAAAACCTACCAGCTTGTCTGGTAGAATCAGATCCCCAGGGGAGATATGTGATGATTGAACTTGGTATTTATGGTAAGAAAATACTTATAGTTGGACTTTACGCTCCAAATCAACAACAGGAACAATTTTATAAGCAGTTACATCAAAAAATAACATTGTTTGATTATAGATCAGTGGTATTAATGGGTGATTGGAATGGTGTCTTAGATACACAAAGGGACAAGAAAGGTTCCTCTCCTTTTCTCAAACAAGCAAGGCTACCTAAAGCCTTTTTTGATATGAAAGAAGACTGGGAATTAAGGGATTATTGGCGGGAACGTAACCAAGAGGAGAGAGACTTTACTTTTTTTTCTGATAGACACCAATCTTTTTCAAGAATTGACTTTTTCTTGATTACCACGGACTTGTATAATAAAGTAAAGAATGTAAAGATTTTTCCTAGATCACTGACGGATCATAGTCCAGTTTGGATGGAGCTGATTCAAGAGAAAGAGGAAAGAAGATCCTGGAGAGTTAATGAAAATTTGTTTAGACAAGAGAAGAATGTTCAAAAATTAAAGGAGTGTTTAAAGGACTATTTTGCTTTGAATATGTACAAGGGGACTTCAATGTCAATGGTATGGGATGCAGGTAAAGCATTTATGCGCGGTGTTTTGATAAAAATGAATAATTTTTATAAGCGAAATCAGATTCAGAAACGTAGAGAACTTGAGGATGAAATTAAATTAAAAGAAAGGGCTTTGATTCTAAATCCTTCTGATGAAAGTATTAAAGAATCTGTAAAGTTATTAAGGTCACAATTTAATATGTTGATAGCAGATCAAGCTGCAACCAACTTATTATTTATGAAACAAAATACATTTTGTAATGCTAATAAGCCGGGGAGATGGTTGGCTTATCAATTAAGAAAGAAACAGAGACAGAGAATAATAGAGAAAATAAATTACAAGGGTAAACTAGTTTCTCAGAAGGAATTAATTAAAAAATCTTTTTTGGATTATTATCAAAACTTATATAAATCTACTAATGTACAATTGTTAGATATAAATAAATATTTAGCTGAGGCAAGTTTTCCTAAATTGACTGAGGATCAGAAATATGAAATTAATGGCTTAATTACTAAGGAGGAAATTGCCTCAGCAATTCAACAATTGAAATTAGGGAAAGCACCAGGTACGGATGGGTTAACAGCTGTTTATTATAAAGCTTTAATGGAGGAGATGATCCAACCATTAAATGATCTTTTTAATGGTATCTTACAGGGTTTAGAGATTCCTCCTTCATGGCGTAGTGCCTTTATATCATTGATTCCAAAGGAGGATCAAGATCTTACTTTACCAAAAAATTATAGGCCTATATCTCTTTTAAACGTGGATTATAAGATATTTGTAAAAATTTTGGTAAATAGGCTTATGAGGGTGGTGCATCATCTTGTGCATAAAGATCAATCAGGGTTTATAACAGGAAGGTATATGAAAAACAATGTTAGACAAATTATTAATCTATTAGAATACTTAGATAAGAACAACCAAGTTCCTGCAGGGCTCATATTTTTAGATGCTGAAAAAGCATTTGACCAATTGAATTGGCATTTTATGCTAAGAGTAATGGAAGAAATGAATTTTGGTGAAAACATATTACAAGCCCTTAAGGTAATATATCAAAAACAAACAGCACAACTTATTGTTAATGGAGGTCTTTCGGAGGTTTTCACAATAGAGAAAGGTACTAGACAGGGGTGTCCTTTATCGCCATTGTTGTTTGTTTTAACATTGGAAATATTATTGATCAAAATTCGAGAGTCTCAGGAAATTAAAGGAATATATGTTAATAAAAAAGAATATAAGTTAAGAGCTTTTGCGGATGACTTGGTTGTTACTTTGTCGCAACCTGATTATTCTGTAGTAAACTTATTACAGTTGATTCATCATTATGGCTTGGTCTCGGGTTTCAAGATTAATGTAAATAAGACCAAAATTTTACCTAAAAATATGTCTAGTCAGGAGAAGCAGATTTTGACTAACCTGACGGGTTTTGAGATTGTTAATAAGGTAAAATATTTGGGGGTGATGTTGTCTGTTTCTAATGTAAAATTATTTAAAAATAATTATGAAAGGTTGTGGGTCAGGGTACAGAAGGACTTGAAGAACTGGGAAAAGTTGCAATTATCCCTCATGGGAAGAATTGCAGTGATAAAAATGAATATTTTACCCAAGTTTCTTTTTCTGTTTCAAATGTTACCAATTTTGAAAAATGAGATTAATTTAAATGAGTGGCAGAAGGGTCTTAATAAATTTATCTGGGCAGGGAAAAAGCCAAGGGTTAAGTTTAAAATTATGCAAGACTTCCGTGAGAGGGGTGGACTTAAGGTACCAAATTTGAAATTATATTATGATGCGGTGGTTTTAACACTAATCAGTGATTGGGTAAATTTGACAAACTCTGAGATACTTTATCTAGAGGGATGGGACTTACTTTATGGGTGGCATGCCTA